ACACACACACACACACACACACACACACACACACACACACACACACACACAAACACAAACACAAACGCGCACACATACACACATAAACACACGCACACATAAACACACACATACACACAAACATACACACAAACACACACACATACACACATAAACACAAACACCCACCCACACACACACACACACACACACACAAGTCTAAGCCAAAGGACGGCCGTACTGTATTCAAACTGGCCCCTTTTTGTAACAAGCCTTTATTTTATGTTATTCCTATGATCGGTTTTTTTCCTTCGACAAGCACAGTTATATCTTGACTTTCAAAAATCTGTACACTGTATTTTACACACAAACTTCTCTTTTACAAAATTAGGTGACATGTGTCACCATCAACACAAATTAGCTATCTGAAAAAACAACAAACAACTACACCCCCCCCCCCCAATTAATTACATTTCACCTATTTTATTTTGCCTTTATGATTTCTTAAAAAAAATTTCCCCCTTAAAAACAACAAACACAAACAAAGGACACATACTTAAGCCTTTAAATAACAACACCTACGCTAAAGCCTCTATGTAAAGTTAAGATTTGACAAATCTATTTTTACTGCTTTCCCTTTCCATTGTCTCTTTATATTATAGATCTAGGTTATGAGATACGTGTCAGCTGTTTATACTCTCGTAATGTTTTGATGAACTTTATACATTTTCTGGACAATCACTAAAGACAGTGGAAATAAAATATAAGCAACAGAAATGTAGTTTCTTAGGAGACTGCTAAGAGTATCGTGGAAGGAAAAGAAATACAATGAGGTAGTGCTTGATGAGGTCCACGTGGGACGCTCACTGTTAAAAACTACCAGGAAACGACAAATGCAGTTTTTGGGACACCTAAATAGACATAAGGGTCTTGAGCATCTAGATTTCACTGGCAAAATTGAAGGCAAACGAGGCAGGAGTAGGCCCAGAGCAAGTGACGAAGGGAACATAAACACAAATGGGGAAAAGGGAAAGATCAGGGAACCGTAGCTTTTTAAGAGCATTCGAGCAAAGGAATGAATGAAGAACCATGATCGCCGTTGTCTGTCGCAGATCTGGCACTTGATGATGATGATGATGATAATGATGATGATGATGATGATGATGATGATGATGATGATGATGATGATGATGATACATTTTCATTTCCCTCACACTTTTCTCCCGACTGCCATGGCATAGCAGTTGACCAGGAAAATAAAGCTGTTTGATAACTTGTTTTATTTATTTATTTATTTATTTATTTATTTTTATTTATTTATTTATTTTTATTTATTTATTTATTTATTTATCTTTATTTATTTATTTATTTATTTATTTATTTATTTATTATTTATTCATACACTCATTCATTCATTCATTCATTCATTCATTTATTTATTTATTTATTCAAGTTAGTAAATATCACGAAAATGTAACACCGTGTTCAAGACATAATAATCAAGTTTTAAAAGTTCAACCAAAATTGGGTAAAACGCATAATTTACGCAAGCCTGAAAACAAACGGGTTAGTTTTTGTAGGTCACCGACCGGGTCGATCGGTTTGAGCCACGATGGCCGCTTTGCACCCTCAATTTGGCTAGCCCCGACTACCAGATCGACCCGACCCGACCCGTCCCGACCCAATCGCGTATGTGGGCACCCCCTATTACACTGAAATGTTGGGGTAGAGCGGTATCGCTGTCTCAAAATGAGCAATTTGTTGGCAAGGCTAAGCCTACTGTAAGTCATTTATTTTGGTGATCTTGTGTAGGTCTATGCATTCAACGAACAGTTTCTATAGTTTTTTCTGATCAAATGTACACAAAAGAAATACAAATGCCACATAGCAAGTTCAAATGCCACATAGCAAGTTCAAATGCCACATAGCAAGTTCAAATGCCACATAGCAAGTTCAAATGCCACATAGCAAGTTCAAATGCCACATAGCAAGTTCAAATGCAACATAGCAAGTTCAAATGCCACATAGCAAGTTCAAATGCCACATAGCAAGTTCAAATGCCACATAGCAAGTTCAAATGCCACATAGCAAGTTTTACGCCACATAAAAAGTTCAAATGTTCAATAGGAAATTTTAGTGCACAATTGTGCGTACCAAATTCAAATGTACAAATAGCAAATCCAATTAATGTAACACAATAGAAAGTTCAAATGCCACATAGCAAAAGGAAATATCCTCCACAAAGATTATTCAGCGTGAAAAGCATTTTAATGGGCTCAAACTGAGTTGACGACAACCATAAGCAGTTTAATTTTAAGGTGAATTGATCACCATTTAAAAAATCCCGAGGATGCTCCCACGCAAAGAAATTCAGATAGGACTGAAGCAACTAGATCAATATGCAGCATGGCTGATGCAGAACATTTAGCAGTATGAATTTGCCTTTATTGAGGAAGCTGGTAGCAAGCCGTTGACGAATAGAAACCGATGAAGAGCTCGGAGTGGTCAATGCTTTGTTCGAGTAATGCAGGGTCGAAGGGGACCGAACCGCACGATGCCATAGGGGCCTAATTAATTGCTCTCAGTGACGAGGGTGGCCTGGTCTTTCACGACTTTCAAGTAGATGGAATGGCAGCTTTCGTTTCAACCCATCCCTCTCAGAAACTGGTCCAACAATCCCCGAAACGAAGCATGCTTTGTATGTAACAATGCTCGTGCACAAAGGCAGGCTTTAAATGGCAACTCATCAATAGATTGGGGAAGAAATAACTACCCCCCTACACACCTTTTCTTAACCTCTACGAGAACACTTCTGAATTTGGAAATACGATTTGAAACCGTGGCTCGGTGAAACAAAAGACCAAATCCTCACTCAGCTGACTCATCGACAAAGGATGGTCACACTTGCCCAGATGATGGAACAAAAATCACAAACTGTGACTATAGTGAAAATGGCACCAGCCTTCAGATCAATGCAAGCCTATAAGCCATAGCGTTTTGTGGTGCAGCAATAAGTAAATAAAATTAAACTTTGCTTCCGATTTCACTCAGTTAGTTCTATAATATACCAGCAGTATGTTGATTTGTATCATAACCATTCGTTTCTGTTAAACATGTGAGTTTATTTTCGGTTTTAACATAATTTAACTACATGTATTACTTTCGTTTCACATGGTTTCTTCCTTGTGGCACCACACACTTACGTCTAACTTTTTCGTGGACAAAAAAACTTCCAAACCCTTTTACTTTTTACCTTAATATACTTCTTATACTTTTTAGCCTCCTTTTTAGTTTTAGTAAGAGTTTTACGCCACTTGCAACACAATAAGGTCATATAAGTGCCGGAGATTAGAGGTGTTAAAAGAGAGTAACAGACACAAAAAATGTTGGATAGGAAAGAAGGAGCAAACCACACCAGAGCACCCACCAACCACCCACTTAGCCTCCTTTTACTCTAGTTCAAGCATATTTATATTTGAACTTGCTATGTGGCATTTGAATTTGCTATGTGTTAGATTTGAGATTTCTATGTTTACAGTTGAACTTGCTATTGCTGTATTAGGACTTTTTATGACGTCATTTGTATATTTGGATTTGCTACGTGTAATTGGGTCTTTCTATGCGGTCTTTGAATTTGTTATGTGTATATTTGAACTGAAAAAACTATAATACAGGGCCCAAAGAACATTTCTTAAAAATTACTGGATCAAACGTTTTTGAAAAAATATTTTTGTCTGGCCTGCAGAAGTACCATGAAAAGTTTCGTCTGCACAGGTAAATCCGTAGTATTATGAACTAGATTTTTTAACAATGCGAAAATGAACAAGCATTAGTATACATTACATATATAAGAGTTTCACGGCACTTGCATCACAAATAGGTCATATAATTGTCGAAGATTAGAGGTGGTACTAGTGTTAACATACAAAGAAAAAAGGAGAAGAGATTAGGACGATTGGTGTTTGATGAAAGAAGGAGCAAACTACAGTAGAGCATCCGCCAACCACCCACCGCCTTGTTACAAATTAGACAGTTGAACAAAAAGCAAGTCCACCACAGACGCAAGCCACCGTCGCCACAGCTGCCTGGGTAGTGGCTACCTCGTTCCTTTCCTTTGGTTTTTTTTTCGCCGGTATTTTGGTAGAAGATGCCATTACTTTTGTGAAGTTCATGTTAAAAAGAAATTTCATAAAAGAAATAAGATTTTAAAAAAAAAGAACGAAAGCAAACACCCCCCACCCAAAAAAAAAGTAATAAAAAATAAATAAAACCCAACTAAAACCAAAAGGCAAATGAAACCAGAAAACTATGAACGAATCAGAAAGACAAACCTCTATAGTGCGGTCAAAAATTCATGGCGCAATTTATCCTCAATAAATATCCTCTTTAACGGGTTAATCAATGTCATCCATACTTTGCACAGCAGTGTGTAGCAATTTGTCTTAACTTAATCATATTTTTCCACAACAACTGGGGCTAGCTTTACAAACTTTTCTTCATTAATATATATATATAGAATACAAATATCTCCGTCACACTGAAAATGGGATTGTTCACAGCACAGTTGTAAACCTTTTAAAACCTGTAGAAACCACCTACTTGGATTTTCATGTTAAGACAAATTGATACAGGTCATTTTGCAAAAGCTGTTCCGTGGTTGAGAAAATATTTGTCAATAAGTTGCGGCTCAAATATTTAACAGCACAATAATACTATCGTGTGCAGAGAAGGAAAAATGTGATACACAGTTGGCATGACGTCATTGCAACGAAGCATGGCTTCGCACTTTTTCGAGGAAAGAGGTCAAAATAAAAGATTTGATTTAAACTGAATGGTGCACAAATATTTGCCATCCAATGGGCAAGTTGACTCGTAACTGGGTCCTACCATGCAATTGGTATATAGTAATATGTATGCACGCGCGGGCACACACACACACACACACACACACACACACACACACACACACACACACACACACACACACACACACACACACAAACAACAACACGCAAGCACACGCACATACACACTGCCAAAACCCGCAACACCGAGCTTCAGTGACAAAGCACAACATCGGGTGAGAACCGAGTAGAATTAAAAAAGGATAACAACAGATAGCTTATTTGAATATTATGCTGGCTGGATTGCAGATGGAAATCTCGAGTTTATCAACGCGTTCGTTATCTTTTTCACTCAGCTGCCTCAATAATGGCCACTTAGTGTCAAGTAGAATTTGTTTTCTCTTACATGCAATAGAACTTTCGAAATCTGGATGAAAACTTGGAATCGGAGATTATCGTACACCGTGTCTGTCAGAGACTAAAGACTGACAGTGGAACAGAATCAGTACATCACGGATTAATTTCAAGGACAAACTGTAAATAGAACGAACACATTAGGAAATAATATGTTTGAGTGTGAACAACACAATGACCAACTGTACGTAGACAGAACACGAAGTAAACGAAAATGAAGAAAGAACACTGTTTTGGACACTGTCTGATGTTTATTGTAGTTTTAGTTATTCTCTAATTGTATACATGCAAAGTTCCGAAAGAATACCTCCAAACAGAAAACCAGCCTGAGACTGAAGAATACAACGCAGAAAAACTCGCAATACATCACCCAGAAAGAATACCACAAACATAAAACCAGCCTGTGACTGAAGAATACAACGCAGAAAAACTCGCAATACACTACCTAGAAAGAATACCACAAACCCATTGGCAAAATATTTAACAGCTCCCGATGGGTTAAGGGCTGCCTACCTAAATGTTCCTATTTCATGCAGATTCCCGGTAAATTTCAGGTAGTGAGGCCAAAATCAGGAAGTGCAGTGACAAAGAAGGAAAAAATAAAACCCCAGCTTTATTTCGGCACAAGTAGTTACCATCGAGTGGAGCTTGGTTATACAAGTCTAGTATTTCTCATATAGTCACCCCCCCCCCCCCAAAAAAAAAACCAAAAAAAAAACACACACACAAAAAAACAAAACACAAAACAAAACAAAATAAAACAAAACCCCAGCTTATATTATTCTATATTTGTGCGTATGTGATGTGTGTGTGTGTGTGTGTGTGTGTGTGTGTGTGTGTGTGTGTGTGTGTGTGTTTGTGTGTGTGTAAGTGTGTGTGTGTGTTTGTGAGTGTGGGTATGTGTGTGAGATTGTTTGTGTGTGAGATTGTTTGTGTGTGTACGTGTGTGAGTGTGTGTGTGTGTGTGTGTGTGTGTGTGTGTGTGTGTGTGTGTGTGTGTGTGTGTGTGTGTGTGTGTGTGCATTTGGGAGTTCATACGTGAAGGCAAACAGTTCTGTATTAAACAAGATATTGTGTTTTTAAAAAGACATTTTCAGACTATCGTACAGATACCCATCAACCAATATTGAATATGGATTTAAACGCAGGGTGACTGTCAAACTTATTTGACAATTCGTAGCCTGTGATAAGAAAAAAACCTATATTTAAACACACTTCCTCACAAGGACATGCCAACTGGGAACTGATAAGTCCTGTGTGGTTTGGGTATGCCAGACAATTCTAACCAGTTCTCCCTTAACCATGAAACATGAAATAGATCCTGATTTAGGCCTGTAGAAAAGTCAGAACATCACTTGTCAAAACCATGTCTGGGTTTCAGTTTTCACAGGTTCTAAAAGCGGTGTAAGACAAACTAATTAAAAGAAACAACTTTATAGATGGCCCTGAAGGCAGAGAAAAAAGGTAAATGTGAAAGTGGAAGAGAGTATAACATTATTTATCACTGTACTGAATGCCGGAGTTGGAAGGACTAAGGGGGCACACAGTGACACTGAAAATAAAGAAATCATTGTATCATGGAGTGAGTTCTGATTTTTAAGAATTTAATGCTAAACCATAGATCCGGCTTTAATCATCCGTGTCTTCATACAGTGATAGCTTTTCATGAGGTACACTTACACACAGGGCTTTCAACATAATTGTGTTGTACAATGCTCCATCTCTAGTAATAGAATTTGGTTCACAGACCTTAGACTCCGGTATCTCGTCAAGACGTTCAAGTGTATTTTTATAAAAAAGTGTTTTTCCTCCTTATTCCCCCCACACCTTTTATTTTTTAAACCGTGAAGTCTTGTCCTTCGCTGTTGACGAATCTCAAAAGACGCTTCGGCTCACAGAATACATCAAAGGTCAAGTCTGAAGGATTTTTGGCGAACTTGATAGACAATATATACATAACAATGGTACTCACACAAGGCGTGTCACGTGTCCCTGATAGACAATACGTATAATATGGCACTCACACCAGTAGATGTATAAAGTGACGCGAGCACGCGTTGGAAGTTCAGTTTCATTGACCGGTCTTGAAGAAGGGGAACGACAAACCCCAACTCGGGCAAACCTTGTTTTAATGTGTCAAGGAATAAAGTAGCTCAGAACGACGAATAATTATCGCTGTCGCGGTGTTTCTGCGTGTTTTCACTTTTACCATCAAACAGATAACAGAGAGCATGTGTGAACTGGTGTCTGTTGTTTATCAGTTAGGCGCATCGCTGTCGCACGCTGTAGGCCCAAGTTCGATTCTCTAATAGGGAGAATTTTTTATGGAGTACCTCGGTCTTTCTCCTGGGATGACGTATTTGTCTGGATTGGCCCTGACAGGCAGGGTTGGAAGGCAACTTCCTAAATGATCTAAATTGTATTGACGGGGGTGCAAAAAACTGTTACATCAAACAAAGAGTAAAGAATCCGGATGGTAACGAAAATGAAAATAGATCTTGATTTACCCGATCGAGATTGTCAAGGCTCGATAGATCTACAACACCAAAACATCTGTCATATCAGCTTTTTTTTTAACGCGAAACTCACACGACGATCAAGGAAAGCCGAAAGAACACTGCTATAGCCTGTTCACTTTCGTCTGACTGCGTTAAAAAATCAATCTAGCTCATTTATTAATTTACCTATGCCCATGAACTTTGAATGGCACTTCTGCAGGCCAGCGACCAAACAAAAATGTTTGTTAAAAATCTTGATCAAGAATCGAAATTTTTCTCTTTGGGCCCTATATTGAAAACCGCTCTTTGGATGCAAACACAGGATCACTAAAATAGATGACTTACAGTAACCTTGCCTACAAATTGCTATTGCTCATTTTGAGACAGCGACACCACCCTGCCCCCACTTTCAGTGTAAGCTTGTCGATTTCATCCCCTGGCTGTCTCGACGTCTTCACGTGCTCCACGTGAGTCACGAAAATTACTCACGTTAAAGTGTAGTGTTGAGGAAAACATGTCAACGTTTAAATGTTTAAGGAGTAGATCTATGCTGTATATCCCCTATTATTTTTTTTACCCACTTTAGGCTTACATCAAGGAAAACGTGTCGGAACAAAAGTTTGCAGTGATCCCTTTGAATGGATTCTTTTCGTCATCCAACTTTAAAACCCGTATGCAAAAATCTGCGTCTTGATGAAACTTTGAATTTTAATCTGCTCCTGTGCAGAAGTAAATTATTTCTCTTTCAATATCGGATGTCAGGACAACTCTAGTTTTGACTTTCTATTTAAGGGACAGATTTACGGGGAACTGGTAATGGTAGTCTGCTGTACTTTTATTGTAGTTAGACTTGTACTCTACCGTTGTACAACGCGGCACTGTGTGAGGACAAGAACATGGGTGGGTCACAAGTGAACGTGAAAGGATAATAATAATAATAATAAATAGCATTTGTATAGCGCATGTCCCCACTCGAAAGCAAGCTCTACGCGCTTTACACTATATTATTACCCCAGCAGACCATAGAACACCCAGAAACATTCTCAGCTTTGCGGGAAGCATACAGTGCAAGGAGCTGGTTAAGCGCTCAAACACTAAGAAACTGACAAGATCTTTCACTGTCTATAGCTGGGTACATGTACCTATTCCCACCTGGGTGAAGTGGGGAACATTTGTGTTAAGTGCCTTTCCCAAGGACACAACATCAGGCCTGCGGCTCGAACCCCTGAACCCGCAACAAATGTGAATATGTGAGGGTATATGTGTGTGCGTGTACATATCTGTACACTGTGTAAGTGTCTGTACATATCTGTACACTGTGTAAGTGTCTGTACATCTTACATTGTGAATGCATATATATGTCTGTATGCCTGTAGTAAAGAAACAAAATATTTCTGTTTGGGGATATTTATAAAGTAAAGCACCAAGGATCCACAAAGTAGGAGTCGAAGATAGACAAACTTGTTCCAGTATCACCCCTTTAAAAAAAAGTAATCCAACGACCTCAGACAACAAAACTTTTGTTACCCGATGTGCACTATATTTTTGGCGGAACGTTATTTATTAATAACGTTCCACGTCGTCTTTGCCATTGAATTGGATTGATTATCATGTATTGATAGAATATTATGTATCCAAATATGGCGGTCGTTGATGTGGAGATGCCTTGCAAGGATAAGGCAACATTGTTCATTTTGATTTTTGATGAAAATAAAAATAAACAAATGTTTGTGCACATCGGAGTGACTAGTTATTTATGACATTTCCCATGTAAAGACCTTGAGGTTGTTCTATCAGTATGTTTCTTTCCCCTTCCAACAAAAACAAGTACGCAGACAGGCAGACATCTACATTCATAAATCAACATATTATGTCATAGAATGGATTCTCTGCCATGGAGCTGTTACTAAGCATTTGGTCGGATCTTCATTTCGCTGAAGCTGACAGAATTTGTCCATCCGGTTAAACTCGCCCAGTTCAAACCCTTCGCAAGCACAGTGCTGCCCCACACTCCGTTCAGGTGCACCTGATGGCAGTACTTGTACCACCAAGCTCCGTGATACTTTGTGGCACAGCTGAATGTAGCCTGATCGTTGTCACGGTCCTTGGTAGAGAACTGCTGGCCATTGTGAGCAGCCATGCTGTCCTTTACATTACCCGAAAATCCGGATACATGAATTTTGTAGTTTTCAGATTCTCCGCTCAGCGAAAAGTTCTTGTAACTAGCGTAGTAGTATTTTCCTTTGTATTTCAGGTCGATCCTCAGCTGGTACCTCCCCTGGTGATGAGAGCAAGGGAAAAATTAAAACAAGTCTGTCTTATAGATATGGATGATTTGAACAAAACCCAGCTGTTGTTTCTCATCTGAATATGGTCAGGCTTTGACTCGGACGTTACAGGTTCAAATCCGAGTCTTGTCCTAATGTTTCTGGTAATTTCAAAAATTCCTTTCCTGCGAAATGCCATATGGGGCACCGCATTGAGGACTTTAAAATTTCCCAAAACTGTGTTTAGTAGGACAATAAATTTACGAGAAAGACTAAAGAAGCGCAATAGAAAAACATAGATAAAACATTCCGTACCAAGCACAGAAAAAGATAGAAGTACATGGGCTCTGTACAGACGGCAGTGTGGGGCAGGAAGACACTCAGTGGCTCTCCCCCCCCCCCCCCCCAAATTGCTTCAAAGGATTGAGAATCTAAGATGAAAATATGCATCAACAACAACAACAACAACAACAACAGCAACAGCAACAGCAACAACTACAACATCAGCAACCGCAGCAACAACAACAATAACAACATTAACAACAACAGAAATAACGGCAGCAACAACAGCAACAGCAACAATAAAAACAATGATAACAACAGTAACAACAACAACAACAACAACAACAACAACAACAAAACACAATAAAGCAATGATAACAATAGTAACAACTATAACAACAATAAGAACAACAACAATAGTAATCATACTTACACATTTAGAGTAATCATCTAAGGGGAGAGAGCTCTGATTTAACGTCCGTTTCCAATTCAAAAGGGAGAGCCCCGAATACATAATGCAATTATGCTGCGACTACTGCTTTTAATACTTTAATCGACAATATGGAAAACATCGGAGGTGATACCAATACCAAAAAAGCCTAAAATATATGAATTAAATGACTTAAGACCAGTCGCTCTTACATCCATTGCTTTCAAGTGCCTTGAAAAATTGATCCTCTCAAATATTCTAGGTTGTGTTCATAGAAATCTAGATCCATTCCAGTTTGCATACAAACAAGAAAGGAACGTAGAAGATGCTGTACTTTTTTGTGACTTTATACTGAAACACCTTGAAACATCTAAAACATATACAAGGGTACTTTTTGTTGATTTTTCCTCAGCATTTAATACAATTCAACCGCATATTGTCATTGAAAAACTTCTGAGTCTGAGAGTTAGTCATCATATCGCAGCATGGGTCCTGGAATTTTTGACAGGCAGACCACAATATGTGAAGCTAAACAACACAAAATCTGACACAATTCTTTGTAACACCGGCGGTCCTCAGGGGTGTGTTTTGTCACCAGTTTTATCAAAAGCTACATTTGCAACAAATTTATTCTTCAATACAATTTTTTGATTTAGGTGTTTTTAACATCCTGTGAAAGTTACATTAAAATCGAATCAGAAATCGAGTAGAAAAATGAGATGAAATGCGGAAAAATAGTATTTTGAGACAGCCGGTAAAGGTCAGAGAAGACCAAAATAGTTTTCTTTCCAATAAAAACATTCAGAACATAGTTCAAAGTAAAATGTGGCAACTACTTGATAATATTAACTCAGCAGAAATGGATTGGGGATTTCCTACTAAAAGTGAAGCATATGAGCGGTGGAAATAATGGTTTGTGGGTGGTTGGCTGGTGTTCTGGTGTGGTTTGCTTCTTCTTTCCTATCAAACATCTATCGTATTTATCTCCCCTCCTTCTTTTTTGTGTTTGTTACCCTCTTGTAACACCTCTAATCTTCGGCACTTATGTGACCTTATTGTGTTTCAAGTGCCGTAAAACACTTACTAAAACTAAACTAAAACATGGTATTTGAGAAAAAAACTGACAATTATTTTTTCAAAAAAGTCTCTGCTTTCTCCTCTAAAAATCCCTTCAAACACCACTTTACGGTACAGATATGCGTACATACTCTTTTAGCCATTGTTCAGGAAACGTTCAAGAAACAATATGTGTGATAAGTAGTCCGAGCGGCCAATAAGATTAACAAGACAACATGGCCGCTACATTGTCCTGGCGACCCTGGCAGCTAAAACGTCAAACGCTACACAAGTCGGACAACAGCTGGTGATCCACAGCAACAACCAAGTGAGTGCCCAGAGCATAAGGAACAGATTACGTCAACATGGACTCCACTCTAGACGACCAGCAGTCCGTCTATCCCTGACCTAGGCCCACGCAATGCCCAAGGGACCTGGTGTACTCGTCACCTGCGATGGACACACCAACAGTGGTCAAGTGTGCTGTTTATAGACGAGTCCAGGTATTCCATGTTCTTCAATGACGGAAGGATTCGTGTCTAGAGACGCCTCGGCAAACGCTTTCAGAACAGAGGGAGGAGGGTCTGCTGTGGTGTGGGGGTGGCATTGGTCTGAACAACAGAGCAACCCTCCCCCGTGTTCAAGGGAGTTTACCCAGAATTTGCTACAGGGATGAGAGCCTCCAACCCATTACTTTGTCTATTTTAAGGGCTATGGGACCAGGCACCATGGCACGGGGTGATAGTGTTCGGCTATTCCTTGCTCGTGGCATTGACCATTTTCTGCTTCATCACTGAGGGAAAACCAAAACCAAAAACCACAACGACAACAACAACAACAACAACAACAACAACAACAACAACAACAACAACAACAACAACAACAACAACAACAACCAACCCCCCAAAAAACAAAACAAAACAACAAACAACAACAACAACAAAAACGCGAATAACTACAGCAACAGGTATATTGCCATGGACAACAGCAGCGGCGCTAAGTGATGTCACAATCTTGACAATACATTGTACATTATAAACAAAACAAAACACAACTTGCCTGGTTGGTCAGCTGGTGGATTTTCTCCAACCCAAACCAGAAATTGCCGTTGAGGTTGCCGAATCCATTCTTATACTCGGTCCATCCTCGGTAAAAGTCCACGTCCCCCGAGGCACGTCTCTGTAGACATAACAGAACATTACGCCAGTTTGTGAGACCTGTCATCATGGATCACGTTCAATCACAATGTATTAAAAAAATTCATGCTGATATGGGGTTCATTCTATTTCTGGAAATAAAACCATACCCATTTAATAAGTGACTTTTCAGCAAAATTATTAAAAAATGTTGTACTATGCATGGATATTGTACACCGGGGATAAATTATATTTATTGATTGGAAAGTCACAAGGTGAACGGTGTGTTCGGCGAGGCGCTTTTCCCTTTCGTCAACCCGCAGCCACCTCCCGAATCGTCAGCCACCCCCCAAACCTTTGACACGGGTCAAACTTCCATCTATTTATAGGTAGTTAAATTACCGGAACATGTATTAGGCGAAGTGATTAGCAATGATAGTCGGAATAGAGAGATTGTTTTGGTCT